GAGACGCATAGACTCAGAGAACAGAGACCCATAGACTCATCGCACAGTGACCCATAGACTCACCACACACACAGACCCATAGACTCACCACCCAGAGACCCATAGACTCACCACATACACAGACCCATAAACTCACCACACAGAGACCCATAGACTTACCACACAAAGACCCATAGACTCACCACACACACAGACCCATAGACTCACCACCCAGAGACCCATAGACTCATCACACACACAGACCCATAGACTCACCACCCAGAGACCCATAGGCTCACCACACACACAGACCCATAGACTCACCACCCAGAGACCCATAGGCTCACCACACACACAGACCCATGGCCTCTTCACACACAGAGACCCACAGGCTCAACACAGAGACCCATAGACTCAGCACACAGAGATCCGTAGACCCATCACACAGAGACCCATACACTCATCACACAGAGACCCATAGACTCATCACACACACAGATCCATAGACTCATCACACAGAGACCCATAGACTCACCACACAGAGACCCATAGACTCACCACACAGAGACCCATAGACTCATCACACAGAGACCCCCCCCTCCTCCCCAATAAACACATGCATCCCCGACCACGTTACGTTTTTTGGGTCCTGTCCTGCCGGTTTGCTCCGAATTGACCAGCTCTAAGATGACCTCCCTCCCTGCCTTCCTCCCTCCCCCCCTCCCTCCCTCCCTCCCTCCCTCCCTCCCTCCCTCCCTCCCTCCCTCCCTCCCTCCCTCCCTCCCTCCCTCCCTCCCTCCCTCCCCTCCCTCCCCTCCCTCCCTCCCTGCCTCCCTCCCTCCCTCCCTCCCTCCCCTCCCTCCCCTCCCTCCCTGCCTCCCTCCCTCCCCTCCCTCTCTCCTTCCCTCGCTCCCTCCCTCCCCTCCCTGCCTCCCTGCCTCCCTGCCTCCCTCCCTCCCTCCCCTCCCTCCCTCCCTCCCCTCCCTCCCTCCCTCCCTCCCTCCCTCCCCTCCCTCCCTCCCCTCCCTCCCCTCCCTCCCTCCCTGCGTTCAACTCCTGCTGCCCAAAGGCGCCAGCCCCATTTGGTGCGGGTTGGAACCGGTGGAGAGAGTCGGCGGGGGTTGAACGGTGGCGCCGCGGTTAGCGCGCCGCGCAGCGAAGCCTCGCGGCCCCCGGGTTTCGGCGAACGCTTGTCAACTCGGTCACCCCGCGACTCGAGCCGCTCCTCCTCATCCTCCTCATCCTCATCCTCCTCCTCATCCTCCTCATCCTCCTTATCCTCATCCTTCTCTTCCTCCTCATCCTTATCCTCCTCCTCATCCTCCTCCTCATCCTCATCCTCCTCCTCCTCATCCTCATCCTCCTCCTCATCCTTCTCCTCATCCTCCTCCTCATCCTCCTCATCCTCATCGTCCTCCTCCTCATCCTCATCCTCCTCATCCTCCTCCTCATCCTCCTCATCCTCCTGATGATCGCCGTGATGATCGCCGTGATGATCGCCGTGATGATCGCCGTGATGATCGCCGTGATGATCGCCGTGATGATCGCCGTGATGATCGTCGTGATGATCGTCGTGATGATCGCCGTGATGATCGTCGTGATGATCGTCGTGATGATCGTCGTGATGATCGTCGTGATGATCGCCGTGATGATCGTCGTGATGATCGCCGTGATGATCGCCGTGATGATCGTCGTGATGATCGTCGTGATGATCGCCGTGATGATCGCCGTGATGATCGTCGTGATGATCGTCGTGATGATCGTCGTGATGATCGCCGTGATGATCGTCGTGATGATCGTCGTGATGATCGTCGTGATGATCGCCGTGATGATCGCCGTGATGATCGCCGTGATGATCGCCGTGATGATCGTCGTGATGATCGCCGTGATGATCGCCGTGATGATCGCCGTGATGATCGTCGTGATGATCGTCGTGATGATCGCCGTGATGATCGCCGTGATGATCGCCGTGATGATCGCCGTGATGATCGTCGTGATGATCGCCGTGATGATCGCCGTGATGATCGCCGTGATGATCGCCGTGATGATCGCCGTGATGATCGTCGTGATGATCGCCGTGATGATCGCCGTGATGATCGCCGTGATGATCGTCGTGATGATCGCCGTGATGATCGCCGTGATGATCGCCGTGATGATCGCCGTGATGATCGCCGTGATGATCGCCGTGATGATCGCCGTGATGATCGCCGTGATGATCGTCGTGATGATCGCCGTGATGATCGTCGTGATGATCGCCGCGATGATCGCCGCGATGATCGCCGCGATGATCGCCGCGATGATCGCCGTGATGATCGCCGTGATGATCGTCGTGATGATCGTCGTCGGCGTCGGCGGCGGCGGCGAGCGGAAATGTAAAAAAAAAGTATAACTCGCCGGGGATATGTTTGGAGAAAGATGCGTTATCTTTGCGGGTTCACTCCTTCAACGCACCGGTGGGCTAAAGTAGTGACACTTTTTGGCCGTGTCACGTGGCGGTGGTGGTGGTGGTGGTGGAGAGTTTGTTGCGACGACGTTTGTAACTAACGCGATCTAACGCCCCCAAAAAAACACCTTTATTACGAATGATATTGGTAATTTTGATTGAAAGCTTTCGCGACTGCAGGGATTCATATTCTTGGTTCTTTCGGTAAAGTCACCACCACGTAGAAGGGAAACGATAAAATAATAAAAATATAAAAGGATACAATTCTCACGACGTTTCGACTGCAACACAAGCAATCATCATGAGGTGTGAAAACCACAGCAAGACAATTATCTCTGTGTGTGTCTCTGTGTGTGTCTCTGTGTGTGTCTCTGTGTGTGTCTCTCTGTGTGTCTCTCTCTGTGTGTCTCTCTCTCTGTGTCTCTGTGTTGTCTCTCTCTGTGTCTGTGTGTCTATGTGTTGTCTCTCTGTGTGTGTCTGTCTTGTGTGTCTCTCTCTGTGTGTTTCGGTGTTGTCTCTCTCTCTGTGTGTCTCTGTGTGTGTCTCTCTCTGTGTGTCTCTGTGTTGTCTCTCTCTGTGTGTCTGTGTGTCTATGTTGTGTGTCTCTCTGCTCGTGTGTCTGTGTCTCTCTGTGTGTCTCTCTGTGTGTCTAAGTTGTGTCTCTCTCTGTGTGTCTCTGTTGTCTCTCTCTCTGTGTCTGTGTCTCGTGTGTCTCTGTGTGTGTCTCTCTGTGTGTCTCTCTGTGTGTCTCTGTGTGTGTCTCTCTCTGTGTGTCTCTGTGTTGTCTCTCTCTGTGTCTCTGTGTTGTCTCTCTCTCTGTGTCTCTGTGGTCTCTCTCTGCGTGTGTGTTTCTCTGTGTGTCTTTGTGTCTCTCTCTGTGTCTGTGTGTCTCTCTCTGTGTGTTTCTCTCCGTGTCTCTGTGTGTGTCTCTCTCTGTGTGTCTGTGTGTCTCTCTCTGTGAGTTTCTCTCCGTGTCTCTGTGTGTGTCTCTCTCTGTGTGTGCCTCCGTGCCCGTGTTTTGTCTCTCTCTCAAATGTAGTTTCTACCTGATCACGGTTGCTCGTGTTTTGCAATCGAAACGTCGACACTCCATTGCTTAATTTACTTTCTCTCTCCGTGACTTTACCGAAAGAACCAAATGGTCATTCGTGCAGTCACGAAAAGCTTCAAATCAAATATTTAAAATCACCTTGAAATCCACGTCGCCCTAAGCAAGCGGCAGCATCACAGACGGGGCGGTAACGGGGAGCGTTATAGGCGCTCGGCACAAATCACCGAATATACAACGCGCGCGCGCGCACGTTTGCACTGGTGTAGTGGTTTCTCGCAGCAAACGAATAATTGGTTTGCGGCGTTGAATAATGAGTCTCGCGTGAAAAGCACAGGAAATATATCGGCGTCAAAAAGATGGCACGAGTTTACACACGTGGCTTCTGGCGGGCGCTCGACACGAATCACCAGGACTACACGCGTGTTTTTACTTTTTGATATGATGTGCAGTCGCAACCTCGGTGTACGACCGCTGTGGAATACGTCGAATTTGGTAACACGTCGTGTTTTTACGACGCCTCGCTTGGGGTACGACGTCTTGGGATACGGCGTCTTGCTTGGGATACGGCGTCTTGCTTGGGGTACGACGTCTTGGGATACGTCTTGCTTGGGATACGTCTTGCTTGGGGTACGTCTTGCTTGGGGTACGTCTTGGGATACGTCTTGGGATACGTCTTGCTTGGGATAGGACGTCTTGCTTGGGATAGGACGTCTTGCTTGGGATAGGACGTCTTGCTTGGGATACGTCTTGCTTGGGATACGTCTTGCTTGTGATACGACGTCTTGGGGTACGACGTCTTGGGATACGTCTTGCTTGTGATACGTCTTGCTTGGGATACGTCTTGTGATACGTCTTGCTTGGTATACGTCTTGTGATACGTCTTGCTTGTGATACGACGTCTTGTGATACGTCTTGTGATAAGACGTCTTGCTTGGGATACGTCTTGTGATACGTCTTGCTTGTGATACGACGTCTTGCTTGGGGTACGTCTTGTGATAAGACGTCTTGCTTGGGATACGTCTTGCTTGTGATACGTCTTGCTTGTGATACGTCTTGTGATACGACGTCTTGCTTGGGGTACGACGTCTTGCTAGAACTTGTATGGGTCGAGATGAGTCACCGCGTTTCCGCGTAGACCCCGTTGACGACTCAAACAAAGCGTCGCTTCTCAGTCCGCCTGTAGATCTCGCTCAGTTCACAACCCTTTGCTGTATTGTTACTTCAATTTACTTCAATTTATGGATGCATTTATTTTAATTTGTGTATACATTTTTAGTAATAAGTAGCATCTCAATTATTCGATACAACCCCATTAATGGATGATACGCCATATAAAATATCATTTCGTATTCTCTGGAACGGATTATTTCCTTTGACCTTCATTTGTTATGGGAAAAAATTCGTTTTGGTGGACGTCATTTTGGGTATAAGTTGTACCTTAAATTCCGATTTAAAGCTTTCGTGACTGCAGGGATTCATATTGTTGGTTCTGTCGGTAAAGTCACCGCCACGTAGAAGGGAAACAGATGAAATAATGATGAACAATAATTTTTGTTATATTTTCGTTAGTTATATTGTTTCCCTTCTACGCGACTTTACCGGAAGAACAAAGAACATGAAGTCCTCCTACCTTCTGGAACGAATCAACAACGCCTACCGAGGTACTATTAAATATTGACTTAAAGTTCATCTTCTTTGGTCCTTTCGTTAAAGTCACCGCCACGTAGAATTAGAATAAAATAGTAAATTAATAAAATAAAATAACACAATAAAATTCTCACGACGTTTCGGCCACAACACAAGCGGCCTTCATCAGGTGAAGGGACGAGACTGTCTGGTAGGACAGCGCTGGAGAATTTTCACTGCGTTATTTTTATCAATTTATTATTTTAATTCTCATTCTACGTGGCGGTGACTTTACCGAAAGAACCAAAGAAGATGAATCCTTGCAGTCACGAAAAGCTTTCGAATCGAAAAATATTGACCGCAGTAATTCATCTTCTTTGGTCTTTTAGGTAAAGTCGCGTGGATAGGTTCAACTTAAAAACATTTTTTAGTTAATTGTTTTATTTTTCTTCGAACCCATCTACGTGACCTTTACCCGAAGACCCCAAGGGACCCTAAAAGTTAATTATTGTTGCGGCGACAAACTATGAATTGGTTAGAAATCCCCATTACGAGCGGGCTTTTCACGAAAAAGCAATGTTGAAAATTCCATTGAGGCCCCCACGGGTCTGCTCCCAGCGTTAGACGCGGCGATGGGGGAGCGTCGAGGCGTTCGCGTGTGGCTACTCGCCGGTTCTCCTTCCGTAAAGAACCAGCGGGCGTGGATTTCTGGAGCCACGAAAGCTTCGGACCGAGGCTGTGGTGCGTACTGGTTGCCACGTTCCTTTTTGCCATATTTTTTTTTGTCACCATGCAAGTCGCGATTGAGCCATCTGCATTAAACAATGGCCTTTAATGCGTACGGGCCCGGAAGCCTCTAGGGGTACTTTCTCCACAAGGTGGACAGCCGAAATGTGTTCCAAGGCGGGAGTGGGGGGAGTGGTGGTGGTGGCTTTTAGTTGCCCCATAAACACGTTCAGGCGGGGTGTCATTCAGAGGCCGTTCGAAATCTTGGGATCTTTCGTTTGATAGAGCGCTGGGCGGCACGTGAAATGAAGGCGAGAACCACTGGTTGGGTTAAATCCTTGATTGTTTTTGAGACACTTCGTTAATCGAGCGGCTTTGAACGAAAAAAGAAAGTACGCATTTGATGACGTCCGCATCTGAATTATTCAAAGACGGTAAAATTTAGGAGAGCTACCCCCCTCGTAGGCTGTTACGTTCATTCAATTGCTCTTGTCTCTTAATACGAAGGCAATTGAACGGAACATTTAAGTTCAGCGGTTTAAATATACGAAGCTGAATCAAAGTGTGGAAAAAAATGATCAAGAATGGGCCTATCATGGCAATGAAACAGGAGGCATGTTAAGATGATCAAACGCCAAATATTAGGAAACTTTTGCAAGGCATCAAGTGACTGCATTGAGCACACACACACTCACACAGTAGTTGTGGTGAACACGCAAACACCAAACATGGCTCTGATTATAATGCACGGTTCATTGTCTTTGATACTGATTGGCCGTAGCTGAGACAATGGTGGTGAGACACTGGTGGTGGTGAGACACTGGGTAGTGGTAGTGAGACACTGGTAGTGGTGAGACACTGGTAGTGGTGAGACATTGGTAGTGGTGAGACACTGGTGGTGAGACACTGGTGGTGAGACACTGGGTAGTGAGACACTGGTAGTGGTGAGACACTGGTAGTGGTGAGACACTGGTGGTGAGACACTGGGTAGTGAGACACTGGTGGTGGTGAGACACTGGTAGTGGTAGTGAGACATTGGTAGTGGTGAGACACTGGTGGTGGTGAGACACTGGTAGTGGTAGTGAGACATTGGTAGTGGTGAGACACTGGTGGTGAGACACTGGGTAGTGAGACACTGGTGGTGGTGAGACACTGGTAGTGGTAGTAAGACATTGGTAGTGGTGAGACACTGGTAGTGAGACACTGGCAGTAGTGAGACACTGGTGGTGGTGAGACACTGGTAGTGGTGAGACATTGGTAGTGGTGAGACACTGAGACACTGGGTAGTGAGACACTGAGACACTGGTAGTGGTGAGACACTGGTGGTGAGACACTGAGACACTGGTAGTGGTGAGACACTGGTGGTGGTGAGACACTGGTGGTGGTGAGACACTCAGACACTGGTAGTGGTGAGACACTGGTAGTGGTGAGACACTGAGACACTGGTAGTGAGACACTGGTAGTGGTGGTAGTGAGACAGTGGTAGTGACTAGGCGATACGGCCTGAGGGGGGATGGGTATCTTTATTTTTGGTGTCCGGAGCAAACGACACAAAGCAGATAAAAGTCCTCCACGCCGTATTTCGTCACTCCCAACGAGACCTCAAAGGAGTCGTTATTTGACAAATCCCATCAGGCACCCTGCCTCCTGGGAGTGATGTCTGTCTTTGTTTTACCTGGATGGCACTGGCGTCACTCACCCATGCATTCACTCACTCACCCACTCACTCACCCACTCACCCACTCACCCACTAACTCGCTCACCCATTCACCCACCCACTCACTCACCCACTCACTCACCCACTAACTCGCTCACCCACTCACTCACCCACTAACTCGCCCACCCACTCACTCACCCACCCCCCCCACTCACTCACTCACTCACCCCTCACTCACCCACCCACTCACTCACCCACACACTAACTCACCTGCTCACTAACTCACCCACCCACTCACTCACCCACTCACCCACTCACTCATCCACCCACCCACTCACTCACACACTCACTCACCCACCCACACACTCACTCACCCACTCACCCACCCATTCATTCACTCACCCACTCACTCACTCACACACTCACTCACCCACTCACCCACCCACACACTCACTCACCGACTCACCCACCCATTCATTCACTCACCCACTCCTCACTCACCCACACCTCACTCACCGACTCACTCACCCACTCCTCACTCATCCACACCTCACTCACCCACTCACTGACCCACCCACACACTCACTCACCCACTCACCCACCCACACACTCACTCACCCACTCACCCACCCATTCATTCACTCACCCACTCCTTCACCCACTCCTAATTCACCCACTCCTCATTCACCCACTCACTCACCCACTCCTCACTCACCCACACCTCACTCACCCACTCACTCACTCACCTGCTCACTCACTCACTCACCCACCCACACACTCACTCACCCACTCACTCACCCACCCACTCACCCACTCACTCACCTACCCCTCACTCACTCACCCCTCACTCACCCACTCACTCACCCACCCACACACTAACTCACCTGCTCACTAACTCACTCACCCACTCACCCACCCACTCACTCACTCACTCACCCACCCATCCACCCACCCACTCACCCACTCACTCACCCACTCACTCACCCACTCACTCACCCACCCACCCACTCACTCACTCACCCACTCACTCACTCACCCACTCATTCACTCGCCCACTCAAACACACACTCATTCACTCACCCATCCGCTCACTCACTCACCCACTCACTCACTCAATCAATCACCCACTCACTCACTCACCCACTCACTCACTCACCCACCCACTCACTCACCTGCTCACTAACTCACTCACCCCTCACTCACTCACCCACCCACCCACTCGCTCACCCACTCGCTCACCCACTCACTCACCCACTCATTCACTCACCCACCCACCCGCTCACTCACTCACCCACCCACTCACTCACTCACCCACCCACTCACTCACTCAATCACCCACTCATTCACTCACCCACCCACTCACTCACCTGCTCACTCACCCACTCACTCACCCACCTACTCACTCACCCACTCACTCACTCACCCACTCACTCACTCATCCACCCACCCACCCACTCACTCACCTGCTCACTCACCCACTCACTCACTCACCCACCCACCCACTCACTCACCCACTCACCCACTCACTCACCCACCCACTCACCCACCCACTCACCCACTCACCCACCCACCCACTCACCCACCCACTCACCACTCACCCACTCACCCACCCACCCACTCACCCACCCACCCACTCACCCACCCACTCACCCACCCACTCACCACACTGCTGCAGCTCACCACACCTCTCGCCCATTCACCACGTGCCTTGTGCCCCTCCCCCGCCATCGATGGCCACTGTGAGAGTGCTGTTTGTTGCAGGCCGTTTGGCGTTGTGTGCCATTTGGCCCCCGTCTCCAGCAACTGACTTGCGATTGATGCTGCTGACGATGCTGATGATGATGATGCTGATGATGCTGCTGTTGATGATGATGCTGATTATGCTAATGATGCTGATGGTGATGCTGCTGATGATGCTGATGATGCTGATGATGATGCTGCTGATGATACTGATGATGCTGATGATGATGATGCTGCTGCTGATGATGCTGATGATGATGATGCTGATGCTGATGATGTGTTTCCCCGTGTGTCCCTGTGTCTCCCCGTGTCTCCGTGTGTCTCACCCTGTGTGTCTCCCCGTGTCTCCGTGTGTCTCACCCTGTGTCTCCCCGTGTGTCTCACCGTGTGTCTCCCTGTGTGTCTCCCCGTGTGTCTCACCCTGTGTGTCTCCCCGTGTCTCTGTCTGTCTTTGTGTGTCTCTGTGTGTCTCCGTGTGTCCCACCCCGTGTGTCTCTGTGTGTATCTGTGTCTCACCCTGTGTCTCTGTGTGTCTCTGTGTCTCACCCTGTGTGTCTCTGTGTCTCACCCTGTGTCTCTGTGTGTCTCCCTGTGTCTCTGTGTCTCACCCTGTGTCTCCCTGTGTCTCTGTGTATCTGTGTCTCACCCTGTGTCTCTCTGTGTCTCTGTGTGTCTCTGTGTCTCACCCTGTGTCTCTGCGTGTCTCTGTGTCTCACCCTGTGTCTCTGTGTGTCTCTGTGTATCTGTGTCTCACCCTGCGTCTCTGTGTCTCACCCTGTGTCTCTGTGTCTCACCCTGTGTCTCCCTGTGTCTCACCCTGTGTCTCACCCTGTGTCTCCCTGTGTCTCCCTGTGTCTCTGTGTCTCCCCCTGTGTCTCCCTGTGTCTCTGTGTCTCCCTGTGTCTCCCTGTGTCTCTGTGTCTCACCCTGTGTCTCTGTGTGTCTCCCTGTGTCTCTGTGTCTCCCTGTGTCTCTGTGTCTCACCCTGTGTCTCCCTGTGTCTCTGTGTCTCACCCTGTGTCTCTGTGTCTCACCCTGTGTCTCTGTGTCTCACCCTGTGTCTCCCTGTGTCTCCCTGTGTCTCTGTGTCTCTGTGTCTCTGTGTCTCCCCCTGTGTCTCCCTGTGTCTCTGTGTCTCCCTGTGTCTCTGTGTCTCCCTGTGTCTCCCTGTGTCTCTGTGTCTCACCCTGTGTCTCTGTGTCTCACCCTGTGTCTCTGTGTCTCACCCTGTGTCTCCCTGTGTCTCTGTGTCTCTGTGTCTCCCCCTGTGTCTCCCTGTGTCTCTGTGTCTCCCTGTGTCTCCCTGTGTCTCTGTGTCTCACCCTGTGTCTCTGTGTCTCACCCTGTGTCTCTGTGTCTCCCTGTGTCTCTGTGTCTCACCCTGTGTCTCCCTGTGTCTCTGTGTATCTGTGTCTCACCCTGTGTCTCTGTGTGTCTCACCCTGTGTCTCTGTGTGTCTCACCCTGTGTCTCTGTGTCTCACCCTGTGTCTCCCTGTGTCTCTGTGTATCTGTGTCTCACCCTGTGTCTCTGTGTGTCTCTGTGTCTCACCCTGTGTCTCTGTGCGTCTCTGTGTCTCACCCTGTGTCTCCCTGTGTCTCTGTGTATCTGTGTCTCACCCTGCATCTCTGTGTCTCACCCTGTGTCTCTGTGTCTCACCCTGTGTCTCTGTGTCTCACCCTGTGTCTCCCTGTGTCTCTGTGTCTCACCCTGTGTCTCTGTGTCTCACCCTGTGTCTCTGTGTCTCCCTGTGTCTCTGTGTCTCACCCTGTGTCTCTGTGTCTCACCCTGTGTCTCTGTGTCTCACCCTGTGTCTCCCTGTGTCTCCCTGTGTCTCCCTGTGTCTCCCTGTGTCTCTGTGTCTCACCCTGTGTCTCTGTGTCTCACCCTGTCTCACCCTGTGTCTCCCTGTGTCTCTGTGTCTCACCCTGTGTCTCTGTGTGTCTCTGTGTCTCACCCTGTGTCTCCCTGTGTCTCTGTGTGTCTCCCTGTGTCTCTGTGTCTCACCCTGTGTCTCTGTGTGTCTCTGTGTGTCTCTGTGTGTCTCTGTGTCTCTGTGTGTCTCTGTGTGTCTCTGTGTCTCTGTGTCTCACCCTGCGTCTCTGTGTCTCACCCTGTGTCTCTGTGTCTCACCCTGTGTCTCTGTGTCTCACCCTGTGTCTCCCTGTGTCTCTGTGTCTCACCCTGTGTCTCTGTGTCTCACCCTGTGTCTCTGTGTCTCCCTGTGTCTCTGTGTCTCACCCTGTGTCTCTGTGTCTCACCCTGTGTCTCTGTGTCTCACCCTGTGTCTCCCTGTGTCTCTGTGTGTCTCCCTGTGTCTCCCTGTGTCTCCCTGTGTCTCTGTGTCTCACCCTGTGTCTCTGTGTCTCACCCTGTCTCACCCTGTGTCTCCCTGTGTCTCTGTGTCTCACCCTGTGTCTCTGTGTGTCTCTGTGTCTCACCCTGTGTCTCCCTGTGTCTCTGTGTGTCTCCCTGTGTCTCTGTGTCTCACCCTGTGTCTCTGTGTGTCTCTGTGTGTCTCTGTGTGTCTCTGTGTGTCTCTGTGTCTCACCCTGTGTCTCTGTGTCTCACCCTGTGTCTCTGTGTCTCACCCTGTGTCTCTGTGTCTCACCCTGTGTCTCTGTGTGTCTCTGTGTGTCTCTGTGTCTCTGTGTGTCTCTGTGTGTCTCTGTGTCTCTGTGTCTCACCCTGTGTCTCTGTGTCTCCCTGTGTCTCTGTGTCTCACCCTGTGTCTCTGTGTCTCCCTGTGTCTCCCTCCCAGTTGAAGACGCAGACTGTGGGGACACAGAGTCCAGCTGGCATGACCAGCCTCATGGTGCACACTCACCACTCACACTCACCACTCACACTCACCACTCACACTCACCACTCACACTCACCACTCACACTCACCACTCACTCACACTCACCACTCACACTCACCACTCACACTCACCACTCACACTCACAACTCACACTCACCACACACACTCACCACTCACACTCACCACACACACTCACCACTCACACTCACCACTCACACTCACCACTCACACTCACCACTCACACTCACCACTCACACTCACCACTCACACTCACCACTCACACTCACCACTCACACTCACCACTCACACTCACCACTCACACTCACCACACTCACTCACCACTCACACTCACCACTCACACTCACCACTCACACTCACCACTCACTCACACTCACCACTCACACTCACCACTCACACTCACCACTCACACTCACCACTCACACTCACCACTCACACTCACACTCACCACTCACACTCACCACTCACACTCACCACTCACACTCACCACTCACACTCACCACTCACACTCACCACTCACACTCACCACTCACACTCACCACTCACACTCACCACTCACACTCACCACTCACACTCACACTCACCACTCACACTCACCACTCACACTCACCACTCACACTCACCACTCACACTCACCACTCACACTCACCACTCACACTCACCACTCACACTCACCACTCACACTCACCACTCACACTCACCACTCACACTCACCACTCACACTCACCACTCACACTCACCACTCACACTCACCACTCACACTCACACTCACCACTCACACTCACTACTCACACTCACCACTCACACTCAACACTCACACTCACCACTCACACTCACCACTCACACTCACCACTCACACTCACCACTCACACTCACCACTCACACTCACCACTCACACTCACCACTCACACTCACCACTCACCACTCACACTCACCACTCACACTCACCACTCACACTCACCACTCACACTCACCACTCACACTCACCACTCACACTCACCACTCACACTCACCACTCAAACTCACCACTCACACTTACCACTCACACTCACACTCACCACTCACACTCACCACACTCACTCACCACACTCACCACACTCACCACACTCACTCACCACACTCACTCACCACACTCACCACACTCACTCACCACACTCACTCACCACACTCACTCACCACACTCACCACACTCACTCACCACACTCACTCACCACACTCACCACACTCACTCACCACACTCACCACACTCACTCACCACACTCACTCACCACACTCAATCACCACACTCACTCACCACACTCACTCACCACACTCACTCACCACACTCACCACACTCACCACACTCACTCACCACACTCACTCACCACACTCACCACACTCACCTCACTCACCACACTCACTCACCACACTCACACTCACCACACTCACCACACTCACTCACCACACTCACTCACCACACTCACCACACTCACTCACCACACTCACCACACACTAACCACACTTACCACACTCACTCACCACCTCACACTCACCACACTCACTCACCACACTCACCACACTCACTACACTCACTCACCACACTCACTACACTCACTCACCACACTCACCACACTCACACTCACCACACTCACTCACCACACTCACCACACTCACCACACTCACTCACAACACTCACCACCTCACACTGACCACACTCACCACACTCACTACACTCACCACACTCACTACACTCACTCACCACACTCACTACACTCACCACACTCACTACACTCACCACCTCAGATTTACCACAATCACCACCTCACACTCACCACACTCACCACCTCACACTCACCACCTTATACTCACCACCTCACCACCTCACACTCACCTGCTCGGGCGAGTTGGTGGGTGGGTGAGTGGGTGAGTAGGTGGGTGGATGCGTGGGCGGGTGAGTAGGTGGGTGCGTGCATGAGCGTGTGAGTAGGTGGGTGGGTGGGCAGGCGAGTAGGTGGGTGGTGAGTGGGTGGGTGAGTGAGTGGGTGGGTGAGTAGGTGGGTGGGTGGGTGAGTAGGTGGGTGGGTGGGTGAATAGGCGGGTGGGTGGGTGAATAGGCGGGTGGGTGGGTGAGTAGGCGGGTGGGTTTGTGAATAGTCGGGTGGGTGGATGAGTAGGTGGGCGGGTGGGCGAGTTGGCGGGTGGGCGAATAGGTGGGTGGGTGGGTGGGCGAGTAGGTGGGTGAGTAGGTGGGTGGGTGGGTGAGTAGATGGGTGGGTGGGTGAGCAGGTGGGTGAGTAGGTGGGTGGGTGGGTGAGTAGGTGGGTGGGTGGCTGAGTAGGCGGGTGGGTGGGTGGGTGAGTAGGTGGGTGTGGTGGCTTTTGTGGTCGGACTGCCGCCCACCCACCTACACGATTTCTCTCAGTCGGCGTGAGGGACGACCATCATCAGCAGCATCATCCCCACTGCCACCATTCCCATCCTTACCCCCCCTCTCCCCCCACTCTCCCCCCCTCTCCCCCCCCCTCTCCCCCCCCCTCACCCTCCCTCACCCCTCCCCCACCCCCCCCTCCACCAGAATGCGCCGCTAACGGCGACGCTTCCGCCCCGGCCGCCCCCGCCGGGGTCAAGGGTCGAGACGACTCCGCCCCGGCCGCCCCCGCCGGGGTCAAGGGTCGCGACGACGCCGCCCCCGCCGGGGTCAAGGGTCGCGACGACGCCGCCGCCGCCGCCGCCCCCTCCGGGGTCAAGGGTCGCGACGACGCGTCACCGCGGAGCCCCAGCCCCGAGCCAGCGGCTCGCGGGTCACGGGAGGGGCGGCGCCGTTGCCGTGACGACGACGACGACGACAACGACGAGGTCGACGACGACGACGACGAGGAGGAGGAGGAGGAGGCGGCGGTCGCCGCGGCGACGTCGCGACGGGGAGGAGCCGAGGACGACGACGAGGAGGAGGAGGAGGAGGAGGAGGAGGAGGTGGACGAGGAGGCGGCCTTCGGCTGCCACGGCTGCCACCGGGACTTCGACTCGCTGGAGCAGCTGGTGGAGCACCGTGCCAGCGAGTGCCTCGAAGGTGAGCCGGTGGGATAAGGGAGCGTGCACCAAGCCTGGCGCGCGGGGCCAGGCTAGGTGCACGCGGCGGGTGATGCCTCCCGCTCTACCCCGCCCGCCGGATGGCGCGGTGAGGCCGTGTGAGCTCCGTCTCGTTGACGCTGACCGGTGCCCGTTGCGCGTATCCATTCGGCGTGGGTGGGCGGGTGAGTGGGCGGGTGGGTGAGTGGGTGGGTGAGCGGGTGAGTGAGTGGGTGGGTGGGTGAGCGGGTGGGCGCGTGGGCGGGTGGGTGGGTGAGTGGGTGGGTGTGTGGGCGGGCGGGTGCGTGAGTGGGTGGGCGGGTGCGTGAGTGGGTGGGCGGGTGCGTGGGTGGGTGGGTGAGCAAGTGGGTGAGTGAGTGGGTGAGCGGGCGAGTGAGAGGGCGGGTGAGTGAGTGGGCGGATGAGTGGGCGGGTGAGTGAGTGGGCGGGCGGGTGGGTGAGTGGGTGGGTGAGTGGGCGGGTGAGTGAGTGGATGAGCGATTTAGTGAGTGGCCAAGGGAGTGAGCGGCAAAGTGGGGTCTCACCTGGTTAAATAAAGGACACCAATAGTGAACTTCAGTGGAATCTCACCGTACATAGTCAACTTTGCTGATTGGGGGTCTGGGGAACAAACGATGGGTCTCTGTGATGAGTCTATGTGTCTCTGTGTGGTGAGTCTATGGGTCTCTGTGTGGTGAGTCTATGAGTCTCTGTGTGGTGAGTCTATGGGTCTCTGTGATGAGTCTATGTGTCTCTGTGTGGTGAGTCTATGAGTCTCTGTGTGGTGAGTCTGTGGGTCTCTGTGTGGTGAGTCTATGGGTCTCTGTGTGGTGAGTCTATGGGTCTCTGTGTGATGAGTCTATGGTTCTCTCTGTGGTAAGTCTATGGGTCTCTGTGTGCTGAGTCTATGTGTCTCTGTGTGGCGAGTCTATGGGTCTCTGTGTGATGAGTCTATGGTTCTCTCTGTGTGGTAAGTCTATGGGTCTCTGTGGTAAGTCTATGTGTCTCTGTGTGGCGAGTCTATGGGTCTCTGTGTGCTGAGTCTGTGTCTCTGTGTAATGAGTCTATGGGTCTCTGTGTGGTGAGTCTATGGCTCTCTGTGTGGCGAGTCTATGGCTCTCTGAGTCTACCTACCTGCGTACATTTAACTTATTCCGCACCGTACGCGGCCGGCCCTGTCAATCGCCCGCGCGCGATCGTCTCGACTGCCACCATAATCCATTCGCCGCACGTCATGTGGGGTGGCGTTCGATCTTCGTGGGACAAAAGTGGCATTCACTTGTCGATGCGTGGAACGTCGGACAGAGTGGGGGGGGGGGTGCGGGGGTGGGGGCCGGGGAGCCGGTGCGTCGAAGTTGAGCGCTGCCTTTCGATCGAAAGCTTTCGTGCGACTGCAAGGATTCATCTTCTTTGGGTTCTTTCGGTAGGGTCACGGAGCTCCGTCGTCCCGACAGGTCTGCACCCTTCCGCCGCCGGAAGGGCGGCCGCTTTGCTGTTGTGGCCCGAAACGTCGCGAGAATTTTCTCCGCGTTACTTGGTTACCTCGTGCTCGCTCTACGTGACCTCGCCCCGGGAGGGCCGAAGGAGTTTGAGCGTCGCCCTCGATCGGCGGCGAGCGGCGCCTGCTGTCGTTGCCGCCGCGCTTTGCCGCGGCCGCGCGGCCACCTTCGGCTGCGAGGCGTTGGCGAGCTCGCCTGGCGTACGGGGAGGTCGTGGGTGCGAGTCCCCGCACCGCGACGGTGGATGTGTTGGGCTTGCGCCCCCGCATCTCTCGCCCCGTGGCGGTCGCGTGGATTCCACCACCCGCCGGGGCCTCCGGTATTTCTTTTTTTTTTTTCCCTCCCCCTCCCCGCTCGAAGACTCCCGACGTCTCTCGTGAGCGTTCCGCTGCGGTACGTTGCTGCATGGTGGCGGCGGTGGTGGCGGTGGTGGTGGTGGCTGGTGGCGGTGGTGGCGGTGGTGGTGGTGGTGGCGGTGGCGGTGGTGGCGGTGGCGGTGGCGGTGGTGGTGGCGGTGGCGGTGGTGGCGGTGGTGGTGGTGGCTGTGGTGGCGGTGGTGGTGGTGGCGGAGGTGGTGGCGGTGGCTGTGGTGGCGGCGGCGGTGGTGGCGGTGGGGGCGGTGGTGGTGGTGGTGGCGGTGGCGGCGGTGGTGGTGGTGGCGGAGGTGGCGGCGGTGGCGGTGGCGGTGGTGGTGGTGGCGGCGGCGGCAGCGGCGGCGGCGGTGGCAGTGGTGGTGGCGGTGGTGCTGTTCTAGATTTGAAGCTTTCGTGACTGCGAGGATCCATACTCTTTGGTTCTGTTCGGTAAAGTCACGTGGGAAAAAATAAATAAATAAAGCAACAAAAATCACGACGTTTCGGCCACGACACAAGCGGCCTTCATCAGGTGAAGGGGACCAGACAGCGCTATCCTCGAGACAGTCCGGTCCCCTTCACCTGATGAAGGCCGCTTGTGTTGTGGCCGAAACGTCGTGATTTTTTGCCGTTTTAATTTTTACGTACGTGACTTTACCGAGTAGAACCAAAGAGTACGGTGGTGGTGTTGTTGGTAAGCCGCTTCGCTGAGCTGCTATTTGTGGATAGCCAGGTGGCTTCTGAAAAAGCTGAGCTGCAGAATTCAGTGGTTGGCCTTGCCTGGTGAAATGAACAAAAAATTGTTCCCCCGGGGACCACAGAGCCTCTGAGTGGCCGGAGTCTCCGATGAGTCTTTGGGTGATCAGAGACTTCGATGAGTCTCTGATGAGTCTCTGAGTGAGTCTCTGAGTGAGTCTCTGAGTGATCGGATTCTCTGAGTGATCAGAGTTTCCGAGTGAGTTTCCGAGTGAGTCTCTGCGTGAGTCTCTGAGTGGCCGGAGTCTCCGATGAGTCTTTGGGTGATCAGAGACTTCGATGAGTCTCTGATGAGTCTCTGAGTGAGTCTCTGAGTGAGTCTCTGAGTGATCGGATTCTCTGAGTGATCAGAGTTTCCGATGAGTCTCTGAGTGAGTCTCTGCGTGAGTCTCTGAGTGGCCGGAGTCTCAGATGAGTCTTTGGGTGATCAGAGACTTCGATGAGTCTCTGATGAGTCTCCAATGAGTCTTTGGGTGATCAGAGACTTCGATGAGTCTCTGATGAGTCTCTGAGTGAGTCTCTGAGTGAGTCTCTGAGTGATCGGATTCTCTGAGTGATCAGAGTTTCCGATGAGTCTCTGAGTGAGTCTCTGCGTGAGTCTCTGAGTGGCCGGAGTCTCCGATGAGTCTTTGGGTGATCAGAGACTTCGATGAGTCTCTGATGAGTCTCTGAGTGAGTCTCTGAGTGAGTCTCTGAGTGATCGGATTCTCTGAGTGATCAGAGTTTCCGATGAGTCTCTGAGTGAGTCTCTGCGTGAGTCTCTGAGTGGCCGGAGTCTCCGATGAGTCTTTGGGTGATCAGAGACTTCGATGAGTCTCTGATGAGTCTCTGAGTGAGTCTCTGAGTGAGTCTCTGAGTGATCGGATTCTCTGTGTGATCAGAGTTTCCGATGAGTCTCTGAGTGAGTCTCTGCGTGAGTCTCTGAGTGGCCGGAGTCTCCGATGAGTCTTTGGGTGATCAGAGACTTCGATGAGTCTCTGATGAGTCTCTGAGTGAGTCTCTGAGTGAGTCTCTGAGTGATCGGATTCTCTGTGTGATCAGAGTTTCCGATGAGTCTCTGAGTGAGTCTCTGCGTGAGTCTCTGAGTGGCCGGAGTCTCCGATGAGTCTTTGAGTGATCAGAGACTTCGATGAGTCTCTGATGAGTCTCCGATGAGTCTTTGAGTGATCAGAGACTTCGATGAGTCTCTGATGAGTCTCCGATGAGTCTTTGGGTGATCAGAGACTTTGATGAGTCTCTGATGAGTCTCTGAGTGAGTCTCTGATGGGTCTCTGAGTGAGTCTCTGCATGAGTCTCTGTGTGAGTCTCTGATGGGTCTCTGAGTGAGTCTCTGAGTGAGTCTCTGATGAGTCTCTGAGTGAGTCTCTGCGTGAGTCTCTGAGTGAGTCTCTGATGGGTCTCTGAGTGAGTCTCTGAGTGAGTCTCTGATGAGTCTCTGAGTGAGTCTCTGAGTGATCGGATTCTCTGAGTGATCAGAGTTTCCGATGAGTCTCTGAGTGAGTCTCTGAGTGAGTCTCTGATGGGTCTCTGAGTGAGTCTCTGCGTGAGTCTCTGAGTGAGTCTCTGATGGGTCTCTGAGTGAGTCTCTGAGTGAGTCTATGATGAGTCTCTGCGTGAGTCTCTAAGTGAGTCTCTGAGTGAGTCTCTGATGGGTCTCTGAGTGAGTCTCTGAGTGAGTCTCTGATGAGTCTCTGAGTGAGTCTCTGAGTGAGTCTCTGAGTGAGTCTCTGAGTGAGTCTCTGAGTGATCGGATTCTCTGAGTGATCAGAGTTTCCGAGTGAGTTTCCGAGTGAGTCTCTGAGTGAGTCTCTGAATGAGTCTGAGTGAGTCTCTGCGTGAGTCTCTGAGTGAGTCTCTGAGTGAGTCTCCGCGTGAGTCTCTGAGTGAGTCTCTGAGTGAGCCTGTGTGTGAGTCTCTGCGTGAGTCTCCGCGTTAGTCTCTGCGTGAGTCTCTGTGTGAGTCTCTGAGTGAGTCTCTGAGTGAATCTCTGAGTGAGTCTCCACGTGAGTCTCTGAGTGAGTCTCTGAGTGAGCCTGTGTGTGAGTCTCTGCGTGAGTCTCCGCGTGAGTCTCCGAGTGAGTCTCTGCGTGAGTCTCTGAGTGAGTCTCTGAGTGAGTCTCTGAGTGAGCCTGTGTGTGAGTCTCTGCGTGAGTCTCCGCGTGAGTCTCTGCGTGAGTCTCTGAGTGAGTCTCTGAGTGAGTCTCTGAGTGAGTCTCCGCGTGAGTCTCTGAGTGAGTCTCTGAGTGAGCCTGTGTGTGAGTCTCTGCGTGAGTCTCCGCGTGAGTCTCCGAGTGAGTCTCCGCGTGAGTCTCTGAGTGAGTCTCCGAGTGAGTCTCCGAGTGACTCTCCGAGTGTCTCCCCGTGCCGGGATTGCAGCAGCTCTCTCGGAAAAT